CTGGTGTAGAAAACACCATCCATAGTTAATCGGAAATCGGATGTTGCGTGAACAGTACCATCTTTACGCATGAGCACACCTGGGCAGTGCCCGGGGGCCACTCAAGTGGCCCTTGAGAATCTTACTTTTTATAAATTGTGTTTAAGGAATAAACAACATTGCCTTATATATTTTTTAAAATAAATATATTCAATTACATGAAGTGTTTCTACAAATGGTGATTGATTATCATGCAATCACCAATAATTTAAATTAGTCTATCAGCGAGAAAACTTATAAAAGACAACCGAAATCTATCTGGATAGGTACTTGGGCATTGAAAAATGTTTTGTTAACTGTTTAGTTTGACAAAATAATTCATACCCATTTGAATTTATTTTAATTTGTAATACCTTTTTGTTTATTTACATTTTAATTAACTTCCATGATTTTGAAAATCATTTTATTAACAACCTCACATAATTATGTGAGTTTGTTGTTGTTAATTTACGTCGTACTAGAGCTGCACAATGGGCTATTGGCGACGGTCTGGGAAGCATCTCGGAGGATTATCCGAAGACATTCCATCACAATTTTGATCCTCTGTGGAGGGGATGGCACCCCCGCTTCGGTAGCCCGACGACCTGCGCGCGAAGTCAAGCACNACATCTCGGAGGATGATCCGACGACATGCAATCACAATTTAGATCCTCTGTGGAGGGGATGGCACCCCCGCTTCAGTAGCCCGACGACCTGCACGCGAAGTCAAGCACTTTACGGTAGCACAGTTTAATGAGGACCAATACCGCACACCCTCGGTCCCTACGCGGAACTGATCCAAGTGGTCACCCACCCGCACACTGACCGCAGTCAGTGAAGCTTGACTTCGGTGATCTGCTGGGAACCGTGTCTAAACGATCAGTCCACTGCGGGACTTATTATGTGAGAATTACAGCAACTGGTTAGCATCTCAATTTTTTTTAAAAAAATTATACATAGCTTAAAAAAGTTTTATTTAAGTTCTTGGGGTAATCAAAAATAGTTCAAATTTGTTGAAATTATTGCAGCATGTCTTAAAAATGATTTATTTTGTGTACGTGAGGTTTTTTAGTTCGTGTTTAAACATTATGGTATGTTATAGGGGTCTAAAACATTTTTGTGCCCGGGGGCCCTGCATGCTATTAAGGCGGCCCTGTGTGTGAATGGCCCCTAAAATAATTTATGGTTTTACAAGAGAGAAACAGCAAGCTCAGACGGCTGTGTGACGCATGAATTTAGAGCTCTTCAAGCACGAAACTGTTAACTACGCGATGATTCGTCCGAAATAAGAAGAATCAGTTTAGTTTTGAATGTAAATAAACACCTCGTGATCAAAAACCGCGTGACTCGGATTTGACAAAGTAGGATAGAAAGTGATTTATTAATTATAAACAAATTACGCTCTTATATTAATTAGAATCAATAAAATAAAAGGGTTATAATAATGTCTTGCTCTACAATTGATTACGGAAAGATCTTTGACAATGTATTCTAATTATATGTTTGCTAACACATTATTTTAACTCTTCTTTAATATTCTACTTTAATATCCTAAACGTTTTTAACATAGTTTACTTTTATTAATTTCTCTATTTTAAACCTGCTTGTCGAAACATTATTTACATTACATTATTTAGTACATATAATATACAATCTTGATAATGTGATTTAATTTAAAAAATAGGATAGTAAGAAACTGCTCTATTATACATTCAAAATTATTTTACTTATCAAATCATAATTGCCTTATTTTATGCAAAAAGTAGCATAATTTTATTTTTCATTATACAAATAGCGTATTTTTGAACTAAGTCACTTTTATTTTATAAAATGTCTGAAAATTGCATTTAAAACAGTTAACAAACATGACTAATTTAAAAAATTTTCATTGAAATATTTTGTTGATTATTTTTTTATCAATCAAGTTTTATTAAATCTGTATCTACATAAATTGATCAAATATTGTTGTTATTTTATTGAACTTTTTGTAGTTATTATTATTTATAAATTTATTGGAAATAAACATTTTCTTAAAGTATATTTTTTATTATAGTATAAAAGCAATGGATTTGCTGTTATTGAGAATTTTATTACGAAATCTGAAGTGGAAAGTCTTTTACAAGAATGTTCAAATATTGTCCAAAATATGACTGTTCCTTCATACTGTTCTACCTTTTCAACTGAAGATAATGATGTAAGTTAAAAGTAAAACTTATCTTTATTGAGTTAGCTTAAATAAAACTTTAGGTTGTTAACTGCAATAATCTAATAAGATTGTTCTTTAAAAAGGTAATTTGGAAACTACTTTTATGTATTTATAATTTAAAGATAATATATATATATATATGTGTGTGTGTGTAATTGTACCAGGGTGAATCAATATATAATATTTTATATCAGGATTTGTTCAGTAAAAAACAATTCTGATTTCATTCATTAAAAAATATATTTATATGCACTGTACACTCATTGTTTACTTATTTACATTTTTTAAAAATAGTTTCAAGTAATTATTTTGAAATTAATTTGTAATTTATTTAATAGGCTCGCGATGAATACTTTATCAACTCTGGTGATAAAATTTGTTTCTTCTTTGAAAAAGAAGCAGTGGATAAACAAGGTATATTAATAAAATGTCTTGTTGAAATTATTGTTCACAAATAATTATAGATCCTATTTATTTTAAAATAATTTTACTTTATCTAAATTTTGACAAGTTTGTAAATGTTTCTTCTTTAATTGTTTAAAAAAACCATGTTACTCATTGCTAAATTTGTAGTATATTGTAATTTGTGCAATTTTGAAATGACCATATTATCCTTTGTTGTAGCTGGTTTCTTTTAATTATTTTTAAATTAATAGTCTGAAATTAATTATTATAAAATTTGAAGAAAAAACTTCTTTTCACTCCCATTAGACAAAACTCTAACCTTGCTTTCTACTCAGAATCTATTCATGCATGGTTGGTTACATTTGAGCAGTGTGTTCAATAATTCTATGCTCTACAATCTTTTTAATTTTACATGATATTTCTGCATTTTTTTTTTTTAATGCAATGTAGTACCCCAAAAGGAAATAATTTTGTTGTGTTTAAAATGTATCTTTCCTCAAGCCATTAATCTGTCTATCTGTGGTCTTTTGAGTACAAAATGAGGATAAATCTCAGTCGTGTTTCCTTATGTTTGGAGAGTTTTTAGAAGGGTCACATGACCATGCACTTTAATACAATGTTTGTAAGCATCTGAAAATTAATTAAAATTTAAATTTTTTTTACATAGCTAATGAAAATGTAACATTTAAGTAAATTATAAAATAAGTTTTAATTTTTCCCAGGAAATCTACTTGTGGACAAAGAAGAAGCTTTAAATAAAATGGGTCATGGTAAATAAAGTATTTTTGTATTGTTCTGTTTATGATGATTTCCATGCTAAAAGTTACCAACTTCTTTAAGTTTAGAGTAATTAGGTTGTACACAGGGATTGGAAGTCGGAGGCAAATGTCTCAGCTCTTGAGATTGCTAAGAGCCTTGTAGTTACTTGCAAAAAGTGTCATTATTTTAAATGAAATTTTAATAAAAAAATTGCAAGGAATTAATTTTTATTTTAAAAAAATGGATACTTTTCCGTTAGCTGAACGCAAATGTCAATTGTGAACCAAATGCGAGCCAAGTCGCCAAGCAAAGTGAATGACAAAACAGTCAATGGAATAAAAGTCAAAAATGTTCAACTCTAAACAAATATTTATTAATAGTAAGCAAAACAAGTTCAACTATAACCAAATATTAATGAATTCAACTATAAACAAATATTAATGAATTCAACTATAAATAAATATACTTTCTTTATTTTTACAGAATAAAAATAAAGAAAAATTAAGATGGAACAAAGAAAAGAAAACATGCTTTATTTTGAATGAATTCAGAGATTAGAGCATGTGGCCCCAAACTAAAATTCCCCTTATGGTGGTAAGATATTTGGCGGAATTCTACATTATTTGGTGATTTTTCGCCCGTGCCCAGCTTACAGAAATGCTCATAAGCAGAATATTTTAAAATGTTCTGCAACAGGACTTATTAATTTACACAAATGTTCTGCAAGCATTTCACAGCAAAAAAAAGTCAACTTTACAATAAAATACTATATTTTCACTTATTAAAATACAGGATCGTACTCAGATACACTATGTTCTTTTTTAAACCAAGGCAAACATTCTTGATTTGTTACTTTTTCAATCACTTTTGAAGTACAAAATTTTGTTAATGACGATGATGAATTATTAATAAAATGCCTATGATATGAAAGTCCGAACATTAAAATAAGGGCTGCTTAAAACTCTTTCGAAGGGACAAGTGCCCAGATGGTGCACCATTTGCAAACACAAACATTCGCTGGTCTGTTGTTCCAACAACTTCATCTCCATCGAAAGCATTTGGTCTTTTAGAAACAATTCTGTCAATCATGGATCCCCACGATAATTCAGAATTGCTTCTGAAATGGGATTGGAAAATATGAAAGTAAAACTTTATGAAATCTCTGAATTTAATTTTTTACGGCTTGCTTTAGAAGCTCTCTTGATAAGAATGGTGATCGATTTCTCCTGCTGTCTGCTAAAAACTGATGCACCCATTTTATAAAAATGTTATAGCCGAAAGCTAATTCATTAATTTCCTTCTCAGAATGGCAAAGATAGATTACTGATAAATGTGCTGAAATTTGTGCAGGGTGTCAAATGTTCCTCTTCTAAAGCAACATCATTCCTAGGAAAAAGCAAGTGGTCAAAGCTAAAGATAATTTTCATTCATTTAATGACAATATCAATGTTTTCCTCTTTTTCAAAATATATTTTATACTGCTCCAACATGGAATTGATGCAGATTATCATTTGCATGGCATCTGAGGGAAATATGGAAAGCTCAGAATTATTTAAGACGGAGCGTAGTCTTTTGGAGCTGGCAGGCAAATCTGGCGGCAGAGGAACTCCTTGAAACATAATTTCTGACTGAGGTGGGAGGAAATGTTCTGCAAAATTATGAGGGGAAGCTTTTAAACCTTCAGGCCATTATGGTCTGCAGAAGAATGCTTGAGATTAGAGTTGGGGATTGTTCTGCAAGGCTACCGGAGGCGGGGGGGGGGGGATGTCGCAGGAAAATGCTGTCAGTTATTCAAGATACAAATTGTTCTACAGGACTTTGTTTGTTCTGCGACGTACGTCACAGTTTTAGGCACTTTCTGCTTCTAGGCAGAAATGTACCAAAAAATTTTAATCTTGAGCAAGTTTATTTGCAATGTTTTACAATATATTAATGGTATGTAGTAATAACACAATTATCAATTATATTAATGAAATAGTTATATTAATGAAATATCTCTCAAAGGTCAACTATATCAATTATATTAATACAATAACTGGAAGTTAATATTTCAGCATGCTTTTTTGAAAATTGATATTCAAAGAATTATAGGGCAAAATATCATTTTAAAAAACTGCCTTATCAAATTAATATGAATATTAGAATTACCTACTGTATGAAAATTAGAATTTCTGTATTTTATGGAAAAGAGCTATTCTAAGGCCCATAAAACCTGCGCCCAGCCTTGATGTTTAGACTTAGAGGTTGGGCAGCTCTGACGAGCAGAGCACATCGACCAGAGGTCTATTGTACCCAAACCCTAGTCGTGATTAGCAAGAAAGCCCTGTAGCTGAAATAAAGTTCAGCAATCACCTTACAGAAACATCTTGCGGTTCCCAGGCATTGACGCAATGCTGCCCTAAATGCTCAAATCTTTAAGTAGAATAGACATCACAATCACAAAGTATGTGTCGTGATGTCTCTTCTACTAGATGACATCCCCGACAAAGAGAATTGGATTCTATTCCCATAATGTGTAGGTGTCTCCTGAGGATACAGTTACTAGTAAGAAGAAATATGATCTTCCTTATACTGTTTCTATTAAACTCTAAGAGTTCTTTTTGACGTACACTAGGACAGTCTCGATTCAGCTCCTTAGCTTGTCTCTGACCGTCGGCAGCGTGCCATTGCTCATGGGCAGTCTTGCCGTAGAGCTTGAAAATGGTTGCCCTAAATGAGGAGGGAGAAATTCCCAGCGCAGGTTCAGGGCCTCCGATCATTGCATTAGAGCCAGCCTGTGCTGCTTCATCAGCTAGCTCATTTCCACCAATACCCATATGTCCAGGTACCTAATGCAGGGATACCTTGTTAGCCTTGATGTTTAGTAATAACAAAACTTTATATTCATTTTTAGATTGCAATGTTAAAAATTTTCTCTGGTGTAAACGAAGTTTTAAAAAAGATAATCATCTAAAATAGTAGAATATTTTTTTGATGCTAGTAACTATCTGCTGAGACAAAACAGCTTCTTTTTTTATTTTTCTTACCCTTATTTTCACTTATGATTTAACTATGGAACTAAAATTCTTTTTAAGTGTGCAGTTAAAAAGAGGGGGGATTTTGCATTTTGCTTCGCTATAAAATAAATACTAATATTTGAATTTAAGCATAAACAACACGAAAGCTAGGACTCATTTGAAGGTATGATGGCTTTATGATTCGATTCATTTTCTGTTTAGCAAATTTCTTACTTTTTATTTATTTTTTATTAATTTGTTTCATTTTCTAAGGAGACAATTTATTAGTAGCTTTCTATGTATTTATGTTATAGCTTTGCATTGGTGGAGCTCTGCATTTAAAAATTTGACTTTTAGTGATAAAATAAAAGTAAGTAAAAATGCCATTCTTTATTTTTCTAATGTGTGTATATATTTACAAATAATTAAGCTGAAATACTTTAAAATGCAATGCTAAAATTGCCCTATATGTATGTATAATGGCTTTTCAAAAATAATTATTATTACAATATTAGAATAAAAATTTATTTAATTATAAGTTCCACAATTCACAACAATATTCATACAAAAATTTTCAAAACATTTGATTTGCATGAGATTATCAAACTTTATTTTATTTATAAATTTTTTCTGTACAGATTTAAAGAAAAAATTCTCCAATTCTCTTTTATATTATGTTAATTCTATTAAAGAATGAATGTTTTTACTTATTTTATTACGCTTTTATTTATTTTGTTCCTATTTAATTATTTTTCAAAACAAAATCCACACCTGATAATTAAAATTTTCAAGTTGATATTCAATGATATGTTACCTTTTTTTTTTTTAAATTAAGATCACAGTTTGTGAAAATTTACTTTTTGAATGTATTTGTTTTAAGATATTTCTATAGCACAATCAATTATTGATAATGAATAAAAATTCAAATGCATGTTGAGTATTATTAAATAGCAATTATTTAATTCAATTTCATTGCAGACTCTTTTAAAATGTTTTGAATATCAAGATCCAGTAGTGGTTCAGAGTATGGTCATATTTAAGGTTTGTATCCATCAATTCTAAAAATATTCGATCTGAAAATTGTTTCATTGTTTATATTATGGGAGGTGAAAAAAATATCCTTCTTACTTATGCAGTTTGTATAACTTTCTTGAAGAATTGCTTATTAATATGCAGGGCTGATTGTGCTCCGGAAAAAATCCTGCTTTTTTGCTAACAGTGATTCGGAAGTTTCTGGAGATCGAAGGTCCAGACGTTTCAAAAAATCATTGATGACAGAAGTTTCCGGAAATCAAATTTTCAAAGATGGAACTTAAAAACTTAGTTTATTTTATTTGTTTGTAAGGGGGAGCCAGAGAGATACTTTATAGTTATTATATTCATGATTAATATTCATTTTTTATCAGTAAGTAGTTATTATAATCATAAACACAAGAAAGAAAGACATATTTGTAAATTTTAATTACCTCCCCAGGTCACCATAGGTATGTGTAAATGGTATAGGTATTTGTAAAATTTTAAATATATTTTAAGTAAACTAAAAAATATTGAGAAAAAGGAAAAAATCCTTGTTTAAATTTTTTTCAATTTACTGTTGTTTTTTTCTTTAACTCCAAGAAATTTTCCGGAATTTTGACTTGGGCTCACAATCACCCCTGAATATGGTGAAGTGCTAAGAAATTAATTGGGTATTTTTAATGGATTAATTTTCCCAAGTTAAAATATGTAGCATATTTATTTTTTCTCATTCCATTAAATACTGATCTAAGATCGATTTCACATTTGTCAATTCACTGCCACTGAAGAATATTATTAAGAACTACATATGATGAAAATAAAAACATATAAATTCCTAAATTGGAACAAGCATACATCTTTGATAGGTCTCCCCCCCCCCCTAAAAAAAATCCTAAATTAGAACAAACATGCATCATTGTGTCATGCCCCCCCCCCCAAAAAAAAAAAAATTTCCTAACTCAAAACAAACATACAAAAAATCAGAATAAAAAGTTTGGTGGGCTAAGTAAAAACTTCTAAAATAAAAAATAAACGATATACAAGTTTTAATTTAAATATTTAATGAATGAATGAAATTGCGATTTCATTTTTAAAAGTTCCTTATATTGAGGTTCAAAGTGAGATGTGCTTATTTTAAGGAACGAGGCTAAAGTTTACTTCTTAAATGATTTTTTCTAAAGTTCATAGTTGAAAACCCATTGAGAAGTAAGGCAAGTCATTCTTATCTAGCTGCCAAGCAATCAGATTAAGCTTCAGTTTAGAAGCTTTGAGTTGGGCCCAGATATCATCAATGAATTGATTTTTCTCTTACATCTTAACGTTAAAGTTGTTCATTTGACAAAGAAGGTCTGTGAAAGCCATTCTGTATCTTCTAATATTTCACACTCCGCTAGGCATTGTTTCTCATGGAAGAACGACAAAATGTCGTCTTTCAGCTGCTAAACTCGCTCGAAAACACATCCTGCACTAAGCCACCTTATGTTCGTATAATACAGTCCATCAGAGTATTCAGATTGAACGGACTGAAGGAAACCTTAGAATTGCCTGTGCGTAAGCCCACGAGATCAAATAATATTAACAAGCTTTACTACTGCATCAAGCACGGGTTTCATATTCCATGCAGATTTACACTGAGCATCTTGATGTATAACACAATGTAGAAGAATAACGCATGGAATCCAGACTTTTTTCCTTTCATATTTGGTGCACCATCAGTTGTAATATTACATATTTTTGTTATAGGCCCTTTCAAAGTTAAAAGCCCTTCCTGAAACTCACAAAAAATATCACATTCTCTTTAAATAACACATGCACACCAGCTCCTCGATAATTTCAAAATTCTCATCTACACTTCTTATAAAGAGCACTAATTGAGCAGTGTCATTTGTATCAGTGCTTTCATCCGTAGCTATTGAGCAAAATTTGAATTGTGTAATAGTTAACTCTAATTGTGATGTCAAATTTTTATCGATGACTTCGATTCTAGAAGTCACCGTTTTTCTCGATAGGCTTACAGCCTCAAAATTATTTTCCATCTCTGGACATAAAGCATCACAAACTTGGAGCATACATTGTTTAATAAACTCCCCATCACCGAGTGATTTATTATTTTTAGCAATATTGTATGCTACAATATAACTTGCATGTGCAGCTGCATCTTAAACACTGTTTATCGTCTTGAAAAAATTTTATCGGCCTGATAATTCTTTTATAAAACTTTCTGCATTTTGTCTTCTTTCACAGCATTCTGAAACAACTTTGCATTTTTTACTAGCCGTTTTGGGGTTAAAAAATGTTACGAATAACCCAAACAAGCACTAGCTATTTTATATATTTAATAATTTCACCATTATTTACAATAATGTTATATGTATGCAATCATTCCATACACAATAAATAATGTTAATGCACAGTCTGCCACATGTGAAGTACAATTCATCTATATTAGAAATCGTATGCCTGCTCCTCGAAGAAGACAAGCACTCGTTGGCGCCAATCTACGTTGGCTATTCTATAAAGAACTTTTTTTAACATTTCACTAACTGAAGCTATTTCCATCAATTTATGTAGAACACAAAGAGAGAAAGTAAGAAGGTCATCAGTACTTTGTTAAAAGAGAGAAAACAAAAATAACTTTAAACAAAGTAGACAAGAATATGGATGTATAATATTTATATTCGCCACAGATCGCCAAGTTAAAATTCTATCCGTGGGCCGGATAAAACCTATAGTTTGCCCATCCCTGTTCTACACCTACCGTCTAAGTCAGATCTATAGGACTATATATATTTATGAATCATATATTTAGTGATTTGAGGCATTTTTAATTTCTTGATAAGTGTCTTTTTCTAACAAGATTCTTTTATTTTCAGCATCCTGAAATTGGAGGAGAAGGTGAACATTTCTTTTAATTTTTTTTCCTTCTTTTTTTTCTTATTCCAACCTGAGCTGAATTTTTTTTATTTTATTGAAAAACAGTTACTCCTCATCAGGATTCAACATTCCTCTATACTGAACCTTCCACTGCATTAGGAATTTGGATCCCTCTCGTTGATATTACTCTGGACAATGGATGCCTATGGTTCATACCTGGATCCCATAAAGGTTTAAAATTATTATTAATTTATTGAAATTTAAAATACAATTTTTCATAATTACTACTTCCACGAAGTCAAAAAGAATAAATTTTTGTTTCTGTATATTTCAATTTTATTTTAAACTGTGCTTAAAATATCTGAATATAATGTAGTGTTAATATCTTAAGAATTATAATATACCGTTTGTTTTTGTACGTGACATAAAGGCTACAATAAGCATTTTATTAATGATTATGTTGTTGTATTTGCAAAATTAGCATAATGATGAAATAATAATTTTTGTACGGATGTTTTAAGTCATGAAAACTTTTCTTGTTTTAATTGAACTTTTATTTTTCAAAATACCGTGAATTAATTCAGAATTATTAAAATATAATTAATTTTAAATGTATTTAAAACTCAATTTTCATTCTACCCCTCCTTCCTTTTGGAGCCACATAACTTATCAACATACTTTAGTTTAGATGTTTACTTTAAAGACAAGATGATTGGAGATTTTCATTCCTAGTCTCTTTTGGTATTGATGAACCTTTATTGATAAACCTTTTTCAGCAAAACAGCATTTTACACTCTAGTTCAACTTGCACTCACTGAATACAAATTGCTACTTTGCATGCTAAATGGTATAACAGTTCCACATCCCTTCATTCATATTAACAAGTATTGTGCCACCTTCAAAGGCTATTTCATTCACAGAAAGGGCTTTTTAACTAACTATTTCATTCTATCTATTCTCTGAAGTGAAAATGTGCTGCAAAAGGTTTACAAAGCAATTTAGTCTTCTCAAGGTAAATACTCTAGCTAGCAGACTTAATAATGGTTTGATTTCCAGCACTGAAACTATGTGTTTAATTTTTCACATAATTATATATGCATAAATTTTTAAAAGCTTAACAAGAATAATTTTTAAGATAGGATTTACCAAAGGTTTGTGAGAAATCCTGAAGGCAAACCACTTTTAACACTGAAAGGAGAAATGCCTGAGTTCGGAAATAGTTCTTTCGTTCCAGTTCTTGTAAAGAGAGGTATTATTTTTTTCTGCCTTTTCTTCTATATATTTGTATTATATTTATGTTTTTGGAAAACTATATTTACATTATGTGCACTCATTTTTATTTTGTTGATGTTAATAACTTGCTGCTGCAAATCGATAATTGAAATTCCTGACAGAGTTTTCTCGGAGTAACGCTAATGTAAATTTTAAATTTCGTTACTTATGCAAAATCTGTTTAATAAGATGTTTATACCGCCCTAACCAGCACCCTATTTTTTTTCCCTCTCATTCACGCGTGATAATGACTTTTTTCTATTCAAAGAAGTCAAATCGCAACTTTGAGTAAATAAGGCTAAATAAAAAAATTCATAATACTTTCTGCTAGACTAATGAACTACTAAGGCGAGCACAAAAGTATAAAATTAATCAACTAAAAAGTAATTATAATTTCAATGAGTAGCAAATTTCGATTTGTGACAGAAGAATTATTTTTTATCAATGTGATATACTTGCCCCTTTTTATATTTGGCTACAATTAGATCGAAATTTTAATATGATATTTCGACTTAGAAATTTCGAATCTGAATCATGCATTTCAACACCAGGAATGAGATTTTTTAGCGGATTTCAGGATTTTTCGCTTTTGTTTCTCGATTTTCTGCTTTTTTTTAATCAGAAACTACCATTTTCTGTTAATAAATATTCCGCCTTTTCTGAAAATTCAGTCGTTGAAATAAAATAATTATTTATTTCTGATTTTTAAAGATAAACAGAAAATTCAAACTATGTAGCTTCCAACCCTTCTACATTTTCACTTATTTTAGCTATTTTCTCTACTTTTGCATACAGAAAATAAGATTTTTCTGTACTTTTACCCGTCTTCAAGATAGCTTATATTTTCGTAATTACAACGTCGCTGCTTGCTATTTGCTGGCACAAAAGCAAGCGAAATAATAAAAAATAGCAATCGATTTGGGGGAAAATATTTATTTGCTCATTCAATTAATCTAATAAATTTTTCTTTATTATGTCAAAACAAAAACAATACAAACAAACCTTTTAGATATCCCAAGCCCAAAATCTGCTAATATCTCGATTCTTATTCACGTGATTTTAATATCAAACATCGATTTCCTTATTTACCTGATTTAAAAGTTCCCCATTTCAATTCTTATTCACACAATTTAAATATTGTACAATGCGATTCTTTTTTATGAGATTTAAAAGTCCAATATCGCAATTTGTTATGACATGTTCTTAAAACCCTGTGTAGCGATTAGTATTCACTTGAGTTTAAAATCCAATGTCGTGATTCATTTATACGGTTGTGATATCAAACATCAATTTTCGTATTTACGCAATCTAAAAATTATGCATCATGATTTAAAAGCTGCACATCAGGATTCATATTCTCTCAATTTAAATTCAAATATTGAAATTCTTATTGACATAATTTTAAAATCATGCATGTGATTCATATTCATACAATTTTAAAATTAATCATCGGGATTTATAATCACATGTTTTAAAAATCGCAAATTTTCTATCAAATTTCTGGATATCATAGCTTCTACATATTATATACAGGGTGTTTATGAAGTCCCGGACCCATTTTGATGCTTAATAACTCATGAAATAATAAAGATAGATTAAAATTAATAACATAAATTAGATAGACTCAAAAAGTTTCATGATCCTTGTCAATGAACTTCCATGTGTGCCCCCTTCGTCGCACGTAGAATATCAAGTCGATAGTCAATTTCACGCTAGGTAGCGGCAAGCGTGTCGGCATCCACAGAGACTATTGCGGTTGTAATTCTGGCTTTTAGGTCATCAATGTTCGACACGTTCCTCCTGTAAACATCGTCCTTTATAAATCCCAAAGAAAAAAGTCAATCGGCATTATATCAGGTGATCTGGGTGGCCAAGGAATTGGCCGAATTTAGATTAAATTATGCACGACCGAGTCATTGGGCCTTTCTTTTTTATAGAAAAGACGGTTTCATCAGTTGTATACTTAGACATGCTGGATAACTTCGTATTTCCACAACTGGAAGAGCTTCAGCCACATGTCTTTTTGCAGCAAGATGGTGCACCACCTCATTGGGGTATCATCGTTTGTAGTTCTTTGACTGACCGTTTTCCAGGAAGATGGATTGGGCGAGGATGTCCAATTCCTTGGCCACCCATATCACCTGATATAACGCCTCTGGACTTTTTTTTGGGGGGGGGGGATTCATAAAGGTCAATGTTTACAGGAGCATCATGTCAAACATTGATAACTTGAAAGCCATAATTACAACCGCAATACCCTCTGTGGATGCTGACATGCTTGCCGCTACCTGGCGTGAAATTGACTATCGACTTGATATTCTCCGTGCGACGAAGGGGGCTCACATGGAAGTTCATTGACAACGGTCATGAAACTTTTTGAGTCTATCTAACCATTTATGTTATTGATTTTAATCTATCTTTATTATTTTATGAGTTATTGAACATCAAAATGGGTCCGGGACTTTATAAACATCCTGTATATATATGGGTGATTCTTAAGAAACATGACAATTCGGACCAAAAAATTTATTCAAATTTAAAGTCTTCAAAATAATCTAAAAATTTTTTTTGTATACTTCTTTAGTTACACTTATTAATATCTTACATACAGCAGTGTAGTTTATTGATATTTGTTCAAGAAAAAAATTATAATAGAAATTCACCAAATCTTGAATACCAGGAAAAAGACATATTAGCTTAGAAGTTTAAAAAACAGTCTTTTAAAGTTAATAGTGAGTAACTTAACTTTGATTACATCCAAGCATATTACAATTATACATAAACTTGGTATAAGGTTAATATTTGCTTTCCCTCCTTACAGTATTAGCAGTTTAAAAAAATTTCTGGAAGCACTTCAATGTCCTGGCATTCAGCCAGGATAATGACAAATTCGCCATTTTATAGCATATAACTATATTTTAATTTAATATTTTTGCCTAAGACGTTTATATTCTACAAAAAACAACATGATTTCTTAAAATAACTCAGATAAATCCATGTAGTTTAGGTTATTAATGATTTGAAGAAGCCAGGAAAATGACAACACAAAAACCTACTCACCTTGAAAAATTTTTTGAAATAGATTTTGACCCAGAAAAATTGGTTCTTTATTCATGCAACTAGACAAGTTCATATAGGAGGGTATCTAATCAGTCTATTAACATAAGATATTGATTACTGGCTCTTGCCTGGAAAATGACATTTTGATATTCAATTAAATTTTTTAACTATACAAAACAGTCAACGCTAGTGCAAAGTCATTTTAAAATGCTATCAGCAATGCTATTCAAAAAACATTTTTTAAAAAAGTTACTTTAGTATTATAGTATTAGATCTTGGTGCCAGGGACAGTGAATTGCCATGTTTTGTGAGAATCACCCATGTATTCATTCTTGGGTTTCTTCTTTTTTACTTTCTGACTACTCTCATCTCTGCAACATGCTCAATATCATCGTTAATCTGTGTTTTGGTCTTCTTTTCTTTTGCAATCAATGCCCTTGATTTTCTTATGGTTTTTAAAATTCCAATGTTATTACGACAAGCAAAATTCTAGTCTTGTGTTTACTGGTCATTTTTAATGCGATGATACCACAGTTTTTTCGATCAGCTTTTTAGCAGTTGCTAAAGATCTCAACGTGGTTTTTTAAATCCAATTTTTTTATTTCGATATTTTTAAAAACGTTAAATTCTTGTTGCACATTTGTGTTTTTTTTTCTTGATGCCCTTGATTTTCACCACGGTGTTTCGAATGCAGCTTTTTGGCGAATATTGTTGTTGATTTTCACATGTTTTTTTTTTTTTTTTTTTTTTTTTTTTTTTTTTTTTTTTTTTTTTTTTNTCCTGATATTATTATAATACAGGAAATTTAAATCGTGCACCTGAATATTTGACGCAATGATTCTATCATTTTTTTCCTTCAGTTAGCCATTATCACTACTGATTTCAGCATATTTTTTAAAATCTTGATATTTTTTATATGATATTATTTATTACAACATGTGAATTTTGAAACATGCTTTTAATTTTAATAATTTAGTGAGATTTCACTATAAATACATTTTTTTTTTTTTTGCTTTAAATTTCACAAATGTTAAAATGGGTTTTAGTTTGTTTTTTTTATGTCATGCGGAGTGCAAAAACGGAGGAACATGTTTTTGTTCTTCTTTTTTTTTAATACAGTGGAAAGTTGCGTATCCAGAATCGGTGGGACTTTTGGTAGTCCGGATATTAGATTTTTCCGTATAATAGACCCCCAAGGTAAACAAAGCTTAAAATGATCTAATAAACGATCTGAATCTAAGAAGCAAAAAATAAACGAACATTATTTTTCAGGTAATAATATTTTAGTATTAGAATGATATCTAATCAATCAAAAACAAAATATTAGAAAATAATAATTATTGCTTAAAATATAGAAAACGAAAAAAAAATTGACAGTTAAGGAAACATTAATTGCTCTCTCCGCCATTTTGAACTAGAAGGAATCAAGCAAGAAGGGGAAATTCCTGTCATTCATTANTGGAAAGTTGCGTATCCGGAATCGGTGGGACTTTTGGTAGTCCGGATATTAGATTTTTCCGTATAATAGACCCCCAAGGTAAACAAAGCTTAAAATGATCTAATAAACGATCTGAATCTAAGAAGCAAAAAATAATCGAACATTATTTTTCAGGCAATAATGTTTTAGTATTAGAATGATATCTAATCAATCAGAAACAAAATATTAGAAAATAATAATTATTGCTTAAAATATAGAAAACGAAAAAAAAATTGACAGTTAAGGAAACATTAATTGCTCTCTCCGCCATTTTGAACTAGAAGGAATCAAGCAAGAAGGGGAAATTCCTGACATTCATTAAGGTGGGTAGGTGGAGAAGAAAATTCATTTCCTCTTTACTTGTTATTCAAGTTGATGGCTGGGCAGTGACAAATTCTTATTTTCTCTCCCATCATTGGCCATCAATCAAGCATAAAGGCGCTGCATGCTGATTGGGTTCTCTTTATTTTTTCTTGTGTCACGGAAAGTGACTCCCCCTCCAATTTAGCATTTGATATGTTTACCCTTTTTCAGAGTATTTCTTCTTCCCCTGACACTCTAATAAAATGGTTCCCGGAAATGCCTCTTTTACTAGCTAGCTGCATGGGAAAGAAGAGGGGACTCAGTTGTGCTCTTTTGAAAACAAATCTCCCCCCTTTCCTGGAGAGAGAGGAGGAGCATTGCCTATGCTTATGGTCTTGGGAGGTCTTCTCTTCCTCTTTCAGTTGATTTATGGGTTCAATGCATGAATCACTAGAAGCTGGAAAAGGAAAAAATACATGTGTCCAAAGACTTTTTTTTTTTTTAGAGAGGAGAAGAGAATAGATGTTTATTTTAACTGTTAAAAAGTGTCCAGGAAATCGACCCTTCCGGAAAAGGGATGTCCAAATATGGGACGTTACACTGTATATATTATTCTATGTGTTTAAGAAAAAAGAAATTTTTAAACAATAAAATTTTTCTTCCTCTCTTTAAATTTTATAAATGTTACTTTTGTGCACAAAAATAAGTATTATTATCTTATTATCTTAATTATTAATTATTATCTTAAACTTTCGGCTCGGGGGCAAAATTCCAATCCATCTCGGATTTAGGTGGGCTTAAATTATCTCTAATAATTGTGTTTTAATTATTTTGTCACCCATTCATACATGATAAATATTTTTTATTTTCTTGTTAAACATTCCTTAATACAATAAAACCTCAATGTATTTTGATAATTAGATAATACTTTTGAAAGATTTAAAAAAAAACATTCCATTTTATTTAATAGGATGTTTATTATGAACATATATACATGCATTTTAGGTGACTGTGTTGTGATACATGGATCTGCTGTTCATAAAAGTGGGAAAAATCTTTCAGATAAATCAAGACCAATTTACACATTTCATATTACAGACCAAGAAGATACTGAATATAGCAAAGAAAATTGGTAATATATTTCTCCAATATTTTTGTTTTAATCTGCGGCCATATTTTAATTAGGGATGTAACGAATGTTCATCCAAATTTTCGACTACGGATTTTTTTAACATGTTGAATGGCATGGGGGTCGCTGGTGACCAACAAAGCCAAGATTATTAAAAACACATAATTTGAATAAATTTTTAATGGTTTTAATTTTTTTTATATTATTATCGTTACTGAAATGGTTTGAAGAAATCATTTTGGCAAGACAGGTAAAATTAGCGTAGCATTCAAAGTGTTAAAAAAAATATTTTCTTAAAAATTCAAATTTTTAAAAGTTTTCTTAAAAATTTGAATTTTAACAGATTTAATGAAGAGTAATCTATCGTATTTTTTTACTATACATTATCCGGCCCGCGCTTTGGATTTCAAATTATTAGCTAGTAAATTAACCAAATATCAGAAGTATTTCGAAAGTCTTCGCCAAATGCAAATCTTAACAATTTTTAATAGTTAATTTTTTTCCCTTAAAAAACTATTTTATGGTATTTTGTTTCAGGCTTATATTATTTGGACCCAATTCTAATTGGCTATGCAGCGCTTTTGCCAAAAAGTACTATAAAAGAATAAAAAATACTGATTTGTTTGTAAAAATTCATTTCGAGGATCGAATTAAATATATTTTTTTTCTTTCCAGTGGAGAAAACATTCGCCAAAACACAATTTTATTTGCCAAATTTACAATTTCATCACATTTGGCCAGATGGTAAATGCTTAGCGTGGATCCTGATTATTCGAAGTAGTTTTTACACATATTTATTAAGTTTAAAAGTTACAAATTTGTCTTCTGAAAAATAAAGGGAAATGTGAAATTTGAGGAATTGAAAATAGATTACTTTATACTAAATCACAAGCTTTGTACTGCTGTTTTTTTTTTGGTTTTTTTTTTCTTTTGAAATTATGCAAGTTAATTTCATCATTTTTTCAACACTTTTTCTAAGGAATCGAAAATGTTTTTTTGTTTCGTTTTTCTGTTTCATTATAGAAAAGCATTTTAGCGAAGCATTTCACCGACCGACGGATATTCAGTATTCAGCTATTCGGCCAAATCACTGTTCATTATATCACTAATTTTAGAACAATCTTTGAACAATCTTTTCTTCAATTATGAACAATCTTTGTGACTGAGGAATTAAACAACTAATAGTTTCATTAACTTCCTATTATCCCCTATTTTTAGAAAACCCATTATTTACTGAATTGCATTGATTAAATAATACTCTAAAACATTTAGTTAATTTAACAGAAGTGTGGTTTAATGTTTTAAAAGTTATAGTAGCTCTAATCGAGGTATGGTTGTGAGTCGTATCGGCGCGACTCGTGACTTGGCCTGTAGTAGCTGTACATTAACACCCTTTTTTCCTTCTGATCTCAAATAAATTACGCAAGCGTAGCTCGACGCGCTAGCATCACAAAAGGTGTGCAAGCTGAAAGACTGTCGGTATCCTAAAGGAATCACACATCGGGGTATTCGTATGGTTTTCAATTTAGTCAAGTCGGACANATCACAATTGTTGTTACACTATGAATTGTTATTACACAAATGTTATTATGCTATGAGGCATATGTAACAATTAAATTAACATTGACAAAAAATTAATACCTAAATTAAAAATTAATACCTAAAAAACAATTAATAACCGTAAAAAACAAGATAACAATAAATAACTAGCAAAAAAAAAAATCAACAGACCTGCTTAAACTAACATCTTACAATCTAATATAAGTTATTGGTCATCTAATCTGTAACAACAGAAGTCACACTGATGTTACTTTAAGTTGAATTACGTGTATAACTGAGACATTGCAAAATGTTTTTTTTTTCAATGTAAATAAAGTGTTTTGAGTGTGAGTGAAAAATTATTTGCAAAACTTCCTTATATACAAAAATTTTTATCAATTTCTTTTCCATATTATTCGTTTTCATTTAAACGTCTTGACTCTTCAACGTTTCTTCGCCGCGCATTTCACTGTCGCACTACGATAATTTTCCCGGTAATTTTGTACTGCTAAATTATGTTCAGCCCTATGTTGCTGTTAATATCACCTGAGATATTCACGGCGATCCATTTTTTATAAAAGATATAAGTATTTTAAAGTAAACTCTGTTAAATATATTTCACACATTCAATACAAAATAGAAATCGCTCAAAATTCAGCTGGTAAGTTAAGTTGCAACATTTCTGTAGACAGCATTATTAAAATTAATTACCTTTTCACACACATGCGTTCTCAATTTTGATTGACTGTTTTGTGCATTACTTACCAAAAGTCTTCTGTGATTGGCTATGTGTTATCATTCCACTCTCTTCTTATATATAAAGATATATATATATATATAGCAAAATAAATAAATACAAAAAAAAGCACAGAGAAAATTAAGAAAAACAATAAGTTTCATTTATTGCTCATAAGCTGCAAATAAACAGAAAACAGAACTCATAAAATAAGTTCAAAATGAAGATAAAACAAAGGAAAATTACAGACATATTGAAAAAAGGAGGAAATAAAAATAATAATAAAAAAATAGCAAACAACTTGAAAAAAAAAGGATGAAATTTTTTTTTTTTAAAATCCGGAAAATAAAAGATACAATCTTTTTATCAGCCCGCACTATTATATCCGCAAAAAAGAGTGCCTTCTGATATTGTATCAATATAGCCAGAGCAAAATATATCAATACAATAGTGTGAGGAACACTCAAAAAATTTTTTACAAAAATTACAACAAATAAAATAGAACACAATAAGTAAAAATAACACGTAAAAACAGGAAATAAAATGAAAAGAAAAAACAGAATAAAACATAATCTATAAATCGAATAGCGAATTCAAATGTACTTACATAAACGGGAAATTTTTCAAGAATGATTTAAAATATTTTCATAACAAGATTGCCAGATTGCAAAATATGAAAACAAAACTGCAAATTGAGCGTAACTAGAGGAGTTTTGTTTTAAAGTGCGTTCTTACTGCATTACTGAAGTGCGTTTGATTTATTAGTTACCAAGGATGGGCCCGAAAATGGATGTGTGCAAGGTAATATTATACTGGATAATTTAAAGAAATTGACCATAAATAATTTTAGAAAATAAATATTTATTTAAGAAAAAAATGTAAAATAGAGAAGAGAAAGAAACATGAATTGCCTGTTTTGCACATAATTTTAGCCACAGATTTGCCCGAAATGGATTTGCACATGAAAAAATTATATAAATTAACAAAGAAATTTTTTAATAAATAAATGTTATTATAATGCTTTTTAAATTTATTATTCTGTTTTTGTCGGTGAAAATAGTAACTTCGTTAAGTCATGAAAAGTTCTTGGAATTAGACATGAAAAGTCACATGAATTTGAAAATCTGAAATGTAGCAGATACCCTACCCTGTATTAAGGAAAATAAAATATTTCATTCGAAATCTCTCTTCTTATTCAACATTATTTCATTTTATACTTTGCAGAATATTAAAACGGTGCTGAGATCAAGGAGGTATGTAAATGGGAAAATATATTAAAATGCATATTTAAGTTCAGAACCTTATTTCGTGACACTTGTTAACCAAGGTGCTGTAATGCATTTCAACCAAAAGAACTAATTCGTTCTGTTTAAAACTATCCCTATCACACGACTTTTATTTCCGAATGTCACATACCTCCTTTAACTACATATCTGTACTCCTTCAACTACGATCAAAATAAAACTTTATTTTAAGGAGCAGGTCAAGAATTTGCACTTCAAAAGATTTGCAAATGATATTAAGTAAACTTAGTTTGCAGTAAAAAGAGTTGATGTTATTTACACACTCCCTTCGTTAGTTCTTTAAAAAATATAATTTAAAAAAATTAAAAGAAAATTCGGTTTATAATACCCTTAATTAAACAAGAGTAACAATTGTTACAGTTTTTACAATACTTTTTTAACTCTGACAATCTTTTCATGAGATAACTTCTTTTGCCAACGATTTTGTCCCTTTTTTTTTG